GAGTCCTTGATATTGTTATGTTCAATATTATTCAAACTATTTTCACGATTCACATTTCAACAAGGTCTCACACACGTTGCTTATACAATTTTCAAGCATTCCATTCAAATCAGCAATTCCTCATATGCATTTGTTAATTCTTCCGCAATCATGTCTTTGAAAGCACTCATTCAAGCCCAAACCTTTTCATTCAGACATCTGGTATCTCTTGAATCAAAAGGGCGATAAAAAGTCATTTCTAAACGCCGGGATACCTAACTTTCAAACCACACAAGCTGTAACTATGATAAAACCGATGTAACAGGGTTCTATAAAAACAGTTTGGTTGTATATATGCTTAGAAGGTTCTTTTAATCAGACAAAAAGGTAAAGGAGCTAGCACTGCTTAATTACCTGGGATGTTTTTGGCAGTAGACTTTCACTTTTTCAATTTGTGTCGCATTAGAGAACCTCCTAAGCATTAGACAAAAGAGGATATAATGAACACTTTACATTCAGTTTCATATAGTTCTCACATAATTTGGGCCTCTGTCACATGTTTAGATCAGATTTTTCAGACAGGCAACTGTGTGCTCCCGTCATTAGTTTGGCGGCGCTCTCATCCGCATGCATGAGCGCTGTTATTGGTCACAGGACTGAGCTGTCTGACCGTACAGACATTAACATTAGCGAGATGCAAGTTCTATTGTGGTTACACAGTATTTAGAAGCACACACTGACCACTGCTGATCCCTCACTCTCACAGCTGCATGTGCACATCTCAGCTCAATCGCAAACATCAGCCTTTTACATAAAGACATACAGTTAAGTGATTGGACAAGATCAAACCGTTCACTTCAGGTCTCCGAAACTACAAGAAGGCCCTTCGCGGGGCTCGAACTCAATACTATTCAACTTTAATAGAAGCGAATAAAAACAACAGTAGATTTTTGTTTGGCACCGTCGCTAAACTCACAAACTGCCATAGCGCAATCGAGCCTAAAATTCCAAGCTCACTGAGCAGTGTCGACTTTCTCCACTTCTTTAATAATAAAATTACATCCATCCGTGACAAGCTGGAGGAGGTTGCTCCTGCTGTTAGTGGTGGACAGGTTGAAGCGGCATACGTGACTTCCCACTTAGACTCTTCAGTGGGCCTTAATAAATTCATGGCTGTGAGCCAAGCAGAGGTGATCTCTGTGGTCACATCCTCAAAAGCCTCAACTTGCATGTTAGACGCAGTCCCGACATGGCTCTTCAAAGACATACTTCCTTTGATAATTGAGCCTATCGTAAATATAATAAACGCATCCATACAATGTGGCTATGTCCCACAAGCTTTTAAAACCGCGGTAATCAAACCCCTTCTGAAGAAAACAAACCTGGACCCAGAAATACTTACAAACTACAGACCGATCTCAAACCTCACTTTTATATCTTAAATCCTGGAAAAACTTATAGCTGAGCAGCTCCGCTGCCACCTGCAGGAACATGATATGTTTGAAGTCTTTCAATCAGGATTCAGAGCTCATCATAGCACTGAAACGGCACTAGTCAAAGTCACAAATGACTTACTACTAGCTGCCGATAATGGACAAGTGTCAGTGCTGGTCCTACTGGACCTTAGTGCTGCATTTGACACAATAGACCACAGCATTCTACTGCAGAGGCTAGAATGTGATATAGGTCTTAGAGGAACAGCCCTTGGCTGGTTTAAATCCTATTTATCAGATCGATATCACTTCGTCAATGTGAATCAGGACTCGTCGCCTTATTCTGGAGTGGAATTCGGTGTGCCGCAGGGTTCGGTACTCGGACCGATTCTTTTTACTCTCTACATGCTGCCACTGGGAAACATTATTAAAAAGCATGGAATTAATTTCCACTGCTATGCAGATGACACACAGCTTTATCTGTCGATGAAGCCTAATCAGACAGATCAGCTAGAAAAGCTCAGTGCCTGCATAAAGGACCTTAAAATGTGGATGACTCTTAAGTTCCTACTTCTCAACCCGGAGAAGACAGAAGTGATCCTACTCGGTCCGAAGCGCCTGCGTGACTCCCTCACTAACCAGATGGTTACTCTCGATAATGTCAGTATAATACCCAGTAACACTGTGAGGAATCTTGGAGTCATTTTTGACCAAGAACTCTCCTTCAAGGCTTATATAAGCCAAGCAACTAAAACGGCGTACTTCCACTTACGGAACATCGCTAAAATTAGGAATTTCCTTCCTAAAAGTGACGCGGAAAAACTCATTCACGCGTTTGTCACCTCAAGGCTCGACTACTGTAACGCTTTACTGGCAGCGTGCCCTAAAGCCTCTTTGAAGAGCTTCCAGCTCGTTCAGAATACAGCAGCTAGGATCTTAACAGGTACCAAAAGGAGGGAGCACATAACTCCGGTGTTAAAATCACTCCACTGGCTCCCTGTGGAGTACAGAATAAAGTTTAAAATCCTACTCTTAACATATAAAGCCATAAATGGCTTGGCTCCCTCTTATCTCCAAGACACGTTAGTGTCGTATCAACCAGGTCGAGCGTTGCGCTCACAAAACGCCAGACGTCTGGTGGTCCCTAAGGTCTCAAAGGTCACTGTTGGTGGCAGAGCATTTAGCTACCAAGCTCCTTTACTGTGGAATCAGCTTCCCATTTATGTTAAGGAAGCAGATACGGTCTCCACATTCAAGGCCAGGCTTAAAGCACTTTACTTTAATTTAGCATATAATTAGGTAATATATAATATGTAGTGTATATATTATATATATATATGCTGTATTATGTTATATATTATGTTATATATTATTCAATAATGTATTGTGTTATGTTGTATATTATGTTATATATTATGCTGTATGTTATTCTTTATTCAAGGCTAGGTTTAAAACAGTCCTCTTTAGTTTAGCATATGGCTAGGAAGGTAAGACTCGGAGAAGGTTAAACTCCTCAGAGTGTTAGTCAAGCTGCATAGGGAGTCAGTTTGCTGGGAGAAGTATGGTAACTTGAGCACTATCCTCTCCTCCTTCCTACTTTATCTGTTTAGCATTTTTAGGATTCTGACTGTAGTTTGTTCATTGCTATTCACCCGTTGTCCCATTGTCTGTTTCATGGTACGATGACGGGATCTCTGAGCCTGGCCTCTTCCATCTACACCTGCGGACTGCCCCGCCCGACCCGCCTGGGAGTGCTTCAGTCCTGCACCGGACCTGTCCACGTTCAGCGTCCACTGGTCCACGTTCTGTAGCTAGCTTAGGTCCTAGATCATTAGCCTGTCCGTCCGGAGGAGCGGATCCCTTTCTCATATGGGTCTCCCTCCCTGTGGGTTTCCCTAGTTCTCCTCCAAGGTTTCTCACTTTTTCCCACTGGGTTTTTTAAGAGTTTTTCCTTGTCGATGCAGGAGGGTCTTGTTGGACAGTTAGTGTCCAACAGAAAGGATTGGTGATGATCAGGACACTTTAGCATTCTACAACATGTATGGACATTTTTTTCTGTGTGTGCTTTATATTCTTCATGTGTTTTAACTGTTGATTCTCTGACCTGTGTTGGTGATTTCAATGGTTTTGTTAAGTCCTCTGAGATGACTTCTGTTGTGACCTAGGGCTATACAAGAATAAATTGTATTGTATTGTGTATTGTATTTCCCCTTTAAAGTCCCTGTTGTGTGTGTGTGCGTTGTCCGGCCTGAGCCCAGAGTCTTATGGTGAAAAACTCAGTGTTCTTGTGTGGCGTGAATGAATGCCTGCGTGAAATACTGTGAAGTAGATTGTTTGATGAATACAATTGTGTTTAATTTCCAAACACATTCAATTTTGCAGTGAAAGACGAGGTGTGACGGAAACTATTTCAGTTCCTCGTACTCTAATCTATAATGGTTGATGCCGCCCTATAAACTACAGACATGCTGTCAATTGGGGCGGCTTATACTATACTATACTTCCTTGTGTCCTTGGCACCTGGGAACACCAGATGCCACAGTGGGGCGGCTGCGGCTGTAAAGTGGCAAACGGCCTAAGGACTTAGGCAAGACACTTCACCCCGATTGCTTAGAATGAGTCTGGTGAATGGTTGGTGGTGGTCGGCCCAGTATGGGCTGATGGCACATTCTGGTTGGCCCCCTCCTGTCAGTGTGCCCCAGGGCAGCTGTGGCTATAGTAGTAGTTTATCACCACCGTGTATGGAGTGAATGAATAATGACAAGTAAAGCATCTTTGACTGTCCAAAAAAGCGCTATATAAAACCGATGCATTATTATTATTATAATAATTATTATTATTATTATACTAGAAACAGAAAAAATGCAATCTTTTCCACAATATTCTCTCTCTACTGAAACGAACGTAGAAGTAGGAAAAGCAATAAATGCTTGAATAAAGTGTTTTTTCTATCTTGAAATGAGGACATTTTGACTGTCTGAAAGTCAGATTTGCCAATGGAACAAACAGTTTAGTTCTATTTCAAGTGAAGTTGAAATTTATTCATCTTGCCAATGAAGAATTTCTGTGTCTCAAGAAATGTTTTTTCATCTCTTTTGGCACATCCTGACACAGAATGTACTCACATTAAGATACATTCAAAGCATTTTCCACTTATATCCTGGTAACTTCTCTCAGTGTAGCCCCAAAGACTTGTGCGTCTGCACCTATCAACACCACACACTCTTGAATGTTGCTCATTCCTTATTGATATCCTTTCATACACACGTGCCATATCGACCCTCTCCATCCATTCCCCATTCCCTCACATCGCCATCCTCTTTGCTCCCATAAATCCGTCCCATTCTTTGCCGCTCGCTTTCGAAAACTCTCCATTTTCCAGTGTTTGGTATCAAATTATCTACGTGCAGAGGTCTCCATCGATTATTTGCTGCACTTGGCGTTAGAAGAAGCTCTTTCCATAAAACTTTCATGGCCTCTCCCACAGCCGGGCGAGGTTAATGTTTGTTTGCACTCACAATGGAATGCTATTGATTCTTGCATTATTTTTTTCAACCTTTCACTTATACTGTTTTCTTTTTCTTTCAGTGGCAAACATTCTATGGCGCGAAGAAGGTACGTCCCTCATGCTTTACCTCATTCATAAGTGAAGCTAATTGAATTTTTCGATAATGGGGTCAGTGAGGTGTGCAAAGAGGGATTAAACGATTGTGTCGGGAGCAGATAGCGTGGCTTTTGTTGGGCTCATTTCAGTTAATTGTGTGTGTTTCTCCTTTCAGGCCTGGGCATTGGGAACATGTTCTATGTGTTCTATGAAGACGGAATAAAAGTGATTCAGCCTGTGGCCTGCGAGATACAGAGGCACATCAAGCCGAGCGAGAAGCTTCTGGCTCTGGAGGTGAGTGCGGCTCAACTAATTAACCTGAATCTTTCTGTGGGGATAATTAATAATACATTAAAGACTCTATTAGTGCGTCCAAACCAAACACAGCGTGTGATGAATGAATGCTAGAAATGGCTAAAACGCCCAAACACAACACTATTTGAAGTCTGTTTTTTCCCTGTCAAATGCACAGAAGGTGGCCACCCAACACACATTTGGGGGCAGTGGTTAGCGCTTGGGTATCACAGCAGGCAGGTTCTGGGTTCAATTTCACCTTTTGGGCTTTCTGTGTGGAGCTTTCATGTTCATTGGTCTCTCCCTTATGGACCAATACATATGTGTATATTTTGTGTCTTAATTGTTGATTCTCTGATCTGTGTTGGTGATTTCAATGGTTTTGTTAAGTCCTCTGAGATGACTTCTGTCGTATTTTAGGGCAATACAAGAATAAATTGTTGTTCTTGTTGTTATTGTCCCTGTGTCTGCGTAGGTTTTCTCAGGGTGCTCCGATTTCCCCTACCACTAAAAACATGTACAATAGGTCTGGCGTGTGCCTCCTGTATGGTGACCCTCTGTGTGCAGCGAGAGACAAATGCCCACAACCATTTCTAAAGCGCTCTGTGATCCTGGTCCTGAAGAAGAAGAAGAAATTTGGTTCAATGAATAGTCACATACACATACAGTATACACATATCACATCAAGGAATGCAGAATGCTGTTACTTCTGCGCTCCTTAAAGACAAAGTGGGGTGAAGTGTCTTGCCCAAGGACAACAACAGCAGACATCAAAGGGAGTCGGTAGAGAAGGTCTTGCGGTGGAAAACATGACCTTCAGGCTCAGAGGTCAACGCACTGCCAACTGAGCCACTGTCGCTGAGCCAGAGGCGCCATATAAATAAAGATTACTTACTTACTCACTTTCTTAAATTAAAAACAGAACACAGACCTTTATTGAAAGAGTGAATCAGGAAGGACGCCAACTCATTACTTGTATAACAATGTTACATATAAATATTGAGCTTTCTTCTGTTCTTAATATAAAACCGAAAAGCAGAGTGAAGGCCTGCCACTGAACTGTGCTGACTCAGTTATGCATCTGGAACTTAACAAAGTACAACAGAGTTCACTTTTTAAACCAATAGAGACTGTGTGTGTTTCTCGCACCAGCTCAGAAATGTGTTTTAACTTGAATAAACACAAATTTAAAAGAAGGACAGCAGTTAGACGGTCCAACTCTGGAAATCTAATTCCAGTTCTTTGTAATCAATCAACTAAACCCATTGACACTGATATTAATTTTAACCTTGCTCTACTTAATGTCAGATCACTATGCAACAAATCATTTTTAATTAATAATTTTATCTGCTCGTATGATCTTGATTTTATGTTTATGACTGAAACATGGCTTGACCATAATACAGGAGATGCAGTTTTAATAGAAGCCTCACCACCAAATTTCAAATTTGAACATGAAACACGAGAAAATAAAAGGGGGGGGGGGCATAGCAGCAGTTTTTAAAGATCGTATTGTCTCCCATAGAGTGTCTCTTGGGAAATTTTCATCATTTGAGTATGTTTCTTTTAAAATAGAACAAAAGAAATCTTCTTCCATTCTTATTATTGTTGTGTACAAGCCGCCACAGTCATGCCATAGTTTCACTGATCATTTCACTGAGTTGCTTTCAGTTGTGTGCACAGATTTTGATGGTTTGGTCATTGTAGGTGATTTCAATATACATGTAGATAATGCTAATGATAGATATGCAATAGAGCTGAGCTCTGTGCTGGAAACCTTTGGTCTCACTCAGCATGTGAGTGGCCCCACCCACAGCAGAGGACACACTCTCGATCTGTTAATTACCAAGGGGGTTAATATTTCAAATGTAAATGTGGTCAATGTTGCTCTGTCTGATCATTTCTGTGTATTTTTTGACATGTGTCTTGATTGTAAACCACCAGCTGAATCTTCGGTTGTTAGAAGAAGACACATAAATGATAATACAGGCGAACTGTTCATGGGGAGGGTAAACTTTGAGAGCACGTTGTGTGTTACTGTAGATGAATTACTTGATTCTGTCACCACCACTGTTTTGAATGTTCTGGATACAATTGCTCCTGTAAAGGTTAAAATAGTTACAAACAAGCAAAAAGCGCCATGGACTAAAGCAGACTCGGTCAGGGCACAGAAGAGAGAGTGCCGGAAGGCCGAGCGGAAGTGGCGAAAGTCAAATCTCAAAGTTGACCATGAGATCTTCAAAGATGCGTTGTGCAATTTTAACAGGGAACTACGTAGAACGAGGGAAATGTACTTTTCTGAAACTATTGAAGGCTGTAGCAACAATCTACGTGTTCTGTTTTCAACAGTAAATAGATTGACGAATCCCCCTGTTAAGATGCCATCAGAACTTACTTCCAAATCTAAATGTAATGAGTTTGCTCAGTTCTTTAATGACAAAGTCCAAGGTATCAAAAACGCCATCACCTCCACGATAGAAATAATAATCCAACCGCCAGTGAGGCTTTTTGGGCTGACGCACTTTACACCAGTACAAATTGAAACTGTTCAGGAGATAATCACTAGTCTGAGTTCCTCCACATGCAGCCTGGATGTATTACCTCCTAGATTTCTCAAGTCAGTTCTGAGCAGTCTTTTACCTTCACTTACACAAATAGTTAATATGTCTCTTGAATCTGGAACATTCCCAATGGCCTTGAAAACGGCGGTCATCAGGCCCCTCCTAAAAAAGAGGAGTCTGGAAGCCCTGGCACTCAAAAATTATCGGCCCATTTCAAATCTGCCTTTCATGGGAAAAATTCTAGAAAAAGTTGCCTATAAACAACTTACAGAATTTTTAATAATCAATAACGCTTATGATATGTTCCAGTCAGGGTTTAGACCCCACCACAGCACTGAGACCGCGCTAATAAAGGTAACAAATGACATCAAACTAAACACTGACGCAGGAAAAGTCTCAGTCCTTTTTCTGTTAGATTTAAGTGCTGCTTTTGACACTATTGATCATGGCATCCTCATTCAGAAACTTGAGGACTGGGTTGGTGTTGCTGGCACCGCCCTAAGCTGGTTTAGGTCCTATTTACAAGACAGAAAGTTTTTTGTGGAGATCGAAAACTGTACCTCAGACCACTTGGCCCTGACCTGCGGAGTGCCACAGGGGTCAATCCTGGGTCCTCTTCTGTTTAATATTTACATGTTGCCTCTAGGTCAGTTGATTCACAGTATTAATGTCTCTTATCACAATTACGCTGACGATACTCAGGTCTATGTGTCCCTGACAGCAGGAGAGCATGAACCAGTGGACTCGCTCCTTCACTGTGTCCAGCAAATCGGTGATTGGATGCAAAATAACTTTCTCCAACTAAACACCGACAAAACTGAAATAATTGTTTTCGGACCCCAGAAACAAAGAGAGAGCGTTATTTGTCACCTCCAGGCTCTCTCTCTACAACCCTCAAATCAGGTCAGAAATCTAGGAGTGATAATGGACTCAGACTTAAATTTCAAAAGCCACATAAAATCTGTAACATCAGCAGCTTATTACCACCTAAAAAACATTGCTAAAATTAAAAACATAGTGTCTAAGGCAGACTTGGAGACTCTTATACACGCTTTTGTCTCCAGTCGGTTAGACTATTGCAATGGCCTGCTCACAGGTCTGTCCAAACAGGCTGTAAAACAGCTGCAGTACATTCAACATGCAGCAGCTCGAGTCCTGACCAGAACTAGGAAGTACGACCACATTAGTCCAGTTCTCAGGTCTCTGCACTGGCTTCCTGTTCCTCAGAGAATAGACTTCAAAGCAGCTTTACTTGTGTACAAGTCTCTCCATGGTCTCGCGCCAAGGTACATCCATGACATGTTTGTGCCATATGAACCGACCCGGACTCTGAGGAGCACAGGGACTGGACTCCTGTTAGTGCCCAGAGTCGGTACTAGACATGGGCAAACTGCATTTCAGATTCATGCGGCTAGAGTCTGGAACCGTCTTCCTGAGAATGTGAGACAGGCGTCTACTCTGGCATCTTTTAAATCTAGGCACAAAACAATTCTGTTTAGCTGCGCATATACAACTGAATGATTTTATCTTTTCATCTTTGTTTTTATCTTTAATCTTTTTAATGCACTGTGACTATTTATGATTTTAGTCCCATCTGTGATTTTAATGTTTAAAGGTTTTTAATTTTTGTGATTTTATTTTTATTGTTTTTAATATATCTTGTGCTCTTAATGTGTTTGATTTATGCATGATGTGATAGGGGATGTGAAGCGCTTTGCGTTGCCTTGTGTAGGAAAGGCGCTCTACAAATAAACGTTGATTGATTGATTGATTGAAGGCCGCCAAATAGAAGTACAGGACTTTTAATAAAATAACGTCCAAGGTAAAAACAAAACTCAAAAATCCAAAGGAACCAGGAACAGGGCAGAACTTGACAAGACAATGAACCCGCAACAAGGAGAGAGGAGTACAGTACAGGAAGTGAAACTAAAATGAAACCACAGAGAAATAATGTCAAAATAAAACCAAATACGGAAATAAAATCCACACCATGACAGAGATCCTTGATCCAGATCATTGGATTGGCCCGAAAATCCAATAACTTGTTCCATCCATTTACGAGAACTACTGAACATGTAGTAAACGTCTACTCAGAACTGTTATAGCAAACTAACAAACAAGCAATGATAATCATAGATAGCAGGTAGTGGCACTTTATGTATTCTTTAAAGTACAGATGAATCGCGATAAGCTTCATTCTCCCGACAACATTCTGGTTTCATGACAATTTCATGAGGTCCTTTCTTGCTTTCAACTTTTCAAGGTGTTTTAAAGAACATCAATAACTGTATTAATAATCCTTTGGGGTCAAATTCCTATTGAGTACCATAACATTAGATTCAAAGTTAGAAATCTTGAGAACTTTATTTGAGTGTTGTGTTCCCCAAACATAGCATTATCAGATGAGGATTGGTCGAATGTAAGAAACATCCATTTTTA